AGATCTTAAGCAAATCTGAATCTCAAACAAATTGAAAAAGAAGAATTATAGAAGTGTACTTTCATCTAAAGGCAGCTAGCATGGTATATTAATAGAAAAATATAAAAGGATTTAGTCTTTGTAAAGTTCCTCTACAGACTTGCAAAATATTTTAAACAATGTTTAAATTAACAAAACAATTTTGTTCAAATTTATATCAGAATATTTAACATAAAACAGGTCTAACTCAAATATTTGTACCACTTTTACCAAATTGCAAGAGGGAATTTGAGTCTAACTCAAGTTAGTCTTGTATTGCGCTCAGAATTTCAGCGCAATAAAGGTCTAACTCTAAAATACACAGTTTGTAACACTTTAATAAAAAATTATATTAATGGCATTATTTCTTATTATAATTAATGTTAACATAGCAAAAAAATATTTTCTAATATAAGTATTTTTTAATAAAATCAGTTTTTTGTCTCTCCTGAACATTTTCAAAAATAGCAGTTAGACCAGTATTGCGCTGAGCCATCGTTCTGATTTGCATTCTAATAGCATCCATTCAATATCAGCAAAAAGAAAAGCCCTTTCATCTTCTTCTTCTTTTTTTAAAATTGATTCTGCCATCTCTTCAGCAAAGTTTAACATCTCATCTTCATTTGAAAATTTCTTTTTTTCATCCAAATGATTTACTAGAGACCTCAGTTCTGAAGATTCAATGCCGAAAATTGTTCTCTTCATCCGCATCACATCACGTAAACCTGCCATTGTTATAAATCCCGGACGAGCCCCCAAATGTTAGCCGGGTCAAATTGTAGATATGATACGGAGTCTAAAAAGAAAAGAATATGTTGTTAATTCATTGCCTTTATTCTTTCTAATTAAAACATGGCGGAGACTGCCGTTGCATAACAACATGTGGCATAATAACATTTAACTAATTGTTCACAACTAAAAATAACAATGTTTCAACTTTACTCATGTCTAGGGGTAAATGCAAAGAGTATCAAAATATAAATCATTATCATTATAATACTGCAATGTAAAACGTTTGGAATGAATAATAATAACCTGATTAACAACACAACCTTGATTATTTATATATCTGATTGAAATAAAAACATATTAAACTGATTATTACTAAGCTGCTACTATAGATACTTAACTTGACAATTTACTATTATGCATAAAACAATAACAATCTAAATCATTGGCACAAATGATAATACTGACAATCAATTTATTTGGCACTTATAACTGTATAAACTTAACAAAAGATGAGAGATAATAATGGATTTTTATATGTTCAGTTAGACAAATAGCATAAAACAATGTTCAAAACAATATTTTATGTGTTCGACTTTATGTCGTTTATTTAGTAATGTTCTAACAATATATTATATGTTCGACTTTATGTCGTTTAATCGCTCTTTCCAAATATGGCATAATACATGCTTTTCTAAATAACTGTCTTACAAATATTAAACTGTATTCTACTTATAAAAAGTTCATAATTATCATGTAAAATGCGTATTAACAATAAACAGTAAAATATGATGATATAAAGATGAATCTCAAAATACGTATGTAAAACGTTTATTCGCGAAAACATATGACTCTAAACTTTAAACATGTTTGCAAGCAAAACAATGTCATTGATAACAGTTACGATAAACGAAAAATACAATCAATAAATCTATCGAGGAAAGTCTTTTTTCTTTCTCTAACTTGTAAATACTTACCTAAAAAGAAAAGAATATGTTGTTCATTCATTGCCTTTATTCTTTCTAATTAAAACATGGCGGAGACTGCGCCAAATTACCGCAAAGAATAACTAACGCAAAGAACGCTCAACATTTTTTTATAGGGGTGCCTTCATCAACCTCACATAGCGTTATCATAAAAGAAAACATGGATGTTTTTCAGGCAAAGAGTCATTATATCCGATTTTACGAAGAATTTTTCGATATTTTAAAGGTGCTATTTTTAGTAACAGATCGATATTGAAATGGGCGGACATAGGTAGAGTAGGACTCATTGCACTGTGAAAGTTAATATCAATCTATTTTGATTCCGTAGCTGAGCTCACATATTTTTAATATATTTTGACCTTTTGACGTTTCATTTTTGTTACAAAAGGATTGAATATGTGTAGGAATATGTTTTTAGAAGTGCTGCACGTTGAGTGTGAGATAACATTTAGTAACATTTACGGATTTTTCTATATGGTTATAGAGAAAAAATTCGCCTCCTGGCCAAGACTGTGAGGCAAATTTCCAAAATAATAGAACTTGTACTTTCGACGATTCGTGTCTAAATCCTCCAATCACTACTTCAGAAATATAAAAAGTTATTATATAATCAATTAAGGGTAATTAAGGCAATTTTTAGGTTTGACTTCATTAGTTCTTAAAATCTACATGTTATCACATGCTCCCCGTATACTGTTTATTGTTTTTATGAATCATTCTTGATTGATGGCTGTCTCGATCTAACAATCTATGAAAAGAAGGGTTCTTCACTCGGCCAACCTTATTATAGATCAGTACTATCCCGAGTTGTTTAGATAAAATTTATATAGCGATTTTGAATAATATTGAATAATAAAATATCAGAGTTTTTTTACTCTAATTGTTTTACTTTAAAATAAAGCGGGTTTTCTCACTTTTAAATACTCTACGCTGGACCATATATTTTCTTACATTTCTGATAAAAAAAATGCAGTCTTAAAAATGTTATTTTGTCGATCGCCACTTCTGTCTTCTGTTTACATAAATGATATAGAATCCTTTCTCAAAACAACGAATAACATTTCTAATAGACAAACATGAAAACAAGATGGTCCAATTCATTGAAATACTTGTTCTACTATACGCTGACGAAACCGTCAAATTTGGAGACGACGGATCGATCTTTCAACCATGTCTTGAAAATTTCTATCTGTAGTGTCAAACATGGCACCTCAACATAAAGTTATCCAAGACTAAAAAATAGTATATGGCAGTTATTAACAAAACAAGTATTCTGTACAGGAATATCCGAAAATTTAGCAAAAACACTATGTACTAGTATAAAGGAAAATAAGTAATTTTCGAACATCTTTCAATTATGCTTTTCATACCGACCTTCAGATAATCTAAGAAGTTGCCTTAATCGAATGGAAAAAACAAGGGTAACACAACATGTGTACAATAATTTATTCATTGATTAAATTTGTGAATGACTCACTCTCGTAGCACCTGCCAACGTTGTTTTATATTTCAAGGAAATCTCGCGTTTTCATTTTTATCTCTCTCCCGTTTTTTTACTACTTTCAAATGCTTATCGATAATTTAATGCTTATAATAGATACCGCCATTCACTACTTCAATTATATACATTTATATATGATGGTTGGAACTGTGACCATCCGCACTTTTGCGTATGGCTCACCGTGAAGTCGGGGACACTCCATACTCCCAACCGGCTCTGGGAAGTCGAGGGTCGGGAGTAGCCTGGCACGGTCTGTGGCGAGAGTCATCACAGTAAAACCTTATTGGATCTTCTATGAACCAGGTCGTGCTTTGGTTGAGTTCAGATCCACGATAACAATATCCTTTTGCACTATTTATTTATAATTCATATGTTTGTTTGTATGTTCTTTTCCCATGGCAGTTATGCATTGGCCATTCCCACTGCTTATTATCCTTTTTATGAATTTGCACACATTTTATTGCAGAATTTAATATTTGTAATCTGTCTCTTCCAAATAAAGAGTATGTTCTGTTCTGTGATTAATCTTAAAATTTCCGTTTTCTACAATAATATTTCATTTGTGTGTAGACTAAGTTTATTTCAATTAAACATGCCAGAAAGATCATGTCAGAAAGTTTACTCATACTTTGAATAATCCACAATCAACATAATCATCATATTTTAAATGTAAATTTTATCAAATATTCATTTAAAATAAGTTCTGTCTTATTGATAAATATATTAATTCTTACATAGAAAACAAGTATAATGTTAATGTTATGTTTTGTCTTTACTGCAATCTATATTTAAATTATAGACAGTTCCCGATTTTTACAATATTTACCCCCTTGCCAAAAATTACAGCAATTTTTGCCAAAAGTTACAGCAATTTTTGGGGTGTTAATATTGCATGTATGATATTAAAAAAAATAATATGCTGATTTACGTGAATTGTCAGTTCTTAATCACATGCAGCAAAATACTATTATAACACCAATCTGTAAAAAATTTGGTATCATTTATTATGAAGGTAACTGAATTATGGGAGTTTTTTTTTATCTTATCTCCAGCAATACTATAATTGGAATGATCTCCAAAATGGTGGATTGGGGAGGTAAAAATTGCTCTCTGAAAAACATCTATTACTTTGTCGGCATGCCTGAACGGTGACAGATATCATTAATTGTATCATAGAGTTGGGACCTTTCTGTTAAAATGTGTCAGGGTTAAATCGTATACATATACATGCATAGTGCGTTACCTGGAGTGCAGGTATTAGTCACCCGTCATTGATTGCCTCATTTCTGCAGGGGTTGACTGACTTATTGTGACGGCAGAGAAAGGGAAAACAATAGAATTATCATATTCAGATGCTCGTTCATTGGTTACTTTTTTCTTGGGTTTCATATTGTGACAACAGGGAAAGTTTTTTATCTTTGACTTTGATACAAAAGAGGAAGAACATCAAAACACTCGGCAATCTGCTTAATACTCAGGGGCTGGGCCCCCTTGTACAAATCAGATAGCATTATGCTTCGATGCTCTGTCTATTACTTATAACACCGCTTGTCTTTACTTATCAGAATAGTCAATTTAATACCTGAATTTATTGCGTTGAATTCTCGTTAAAAAATAAAAACTTTTAATATAGATACGGCGTATATTTTTTCTAATGATATCACATTTTTGTGTAGGATTAGTTTTCTAAGTTATGTTTGATCAACGGAAGAATAAATAATTATTATTGTAATGAATCTTTTTTCGTTCTTTCTTTCCAGGTTTTGAAAATTGAAAAATACTATCGCAATTGTGATAGTCTTACGATTTCAGAATGGCAGTTCACTGAGCATTTAAATGATATGATAAAACTATTAAAAGGAACAACAGTATTCAAGTATGACCAAGGAGCACAACAAGCTGTAGCTAAACTGGAACAGGTATTGACAACTATTGAAATCTAACGGAAGAAGATTGCCATTTTTAAGTTGTGATATTTGTCCGATATATTGGAGTAATTTACACAAAGAATACTATATAAAGCAAGGACGACAAATTTACTACTTTCTTGCCTTAAATATAACTTGAATGGGACTGTTCGCATAAATTAGAAAAGTCAGAAATAGAATCCCTAAAGAACGTCCAAAAACAGCAAAGTTGAAAATGTAAAGACTCCGTTTTTGATTGAGTCTGTAAATGGACGGTAGTGGAAAGAACAATCACATATCCACGCCCATTGAACCAGCTCAAGCATATTTCAACTCTTACATAAAAAAGTATTTTTTCGATTTTGGAAACATCAATAAAAACCTCTATTAAAGTAACGTACTTGCACTTACGTTATTAAAATATACATTGCATTTTTAAGTTAATTTAAACGAATACGGTGCCAATAGTTGAACTTCGAATTACAGTTTCAAATAAAATTATTTTCTACAGTTTTATGAAAAATTAATCCTTTCATAGAATTTTCTATTTTTTTATGATAAGAACAATTTAATGGCAAATTCAAAAATAAATAAGAAAATATATGTTGATGTGTTGGACTTTTTGTAAAATGGTAGTTTCCATGGAAACCGTATATCTCAGAACTGTCAAAATAGTCAAACTGTGTTATAAAAAACAGAATATGTATAAAATAGCTTTATACACACAACAAATGCAAAACTAGCTTTATCTAAGGGTTCTGTATGAAACAAACGATAATCTGAACATATTTCTTAAAAAAAAAATTCATCCTTCTTCACTGCACAAAAATTGAGACAAATAAACATAAATTCTGCACATAATTAAAAATATCGAAAATTTTTCAAAACATGTTCAGCATTTTTCAAATATCAAGTAAAATTTTATGGTGAATTCAAAAATATATATGTTGACGTGTTAATTTGTTTTGTAAACGGGCAGTTTTCATATTGACCGCATATGCAAAATGTTAAAATAACCACGCTTTTCTAAGAAATATCAGTGTTATACCAAATGCATTGTTATATATACAACAAAACGTGTTGAAATATAACTTTCTGCTTCTTATGATGTTGTATGAGGTAAATGATACTGAACATGTTTTTAAAACAAATTTTATGTCAACATTTCAATTTGTTGTATCTTTGCCTGAAGAAGTTTTCTCTGTTTGATAATTTTCAAGAATAACAACTACACTTTGAAATTGAAATGGCCATTTAATAATAAATGACGGAAAAACATATAATTCAATGTTGATATGAAAGTTATCAAACTAACATAAAATTGTGAAATGGCCATTTAATAATAAATGACATATAAACATATAAAACAATGCTGATATGAAAGTTATAATATAACATAAAATTGTATACAAAGCAAGCAAACATTTCTGAAAAATGTATATAAAATTATATACACACATATCCCGAAAAATGGGATGGTGGGTTATTGAAAATTGTTATGAATTATTTCTTCTTCTAAAATGGCGGACTTAATCAGCATCAATTATCACATTGTACTTACTCATAACGATAACCTTAGTGTACTTACTAGTACGGCTTTTTCGAACCCAATATATTTCGACCTATGACTAAAGACCTAATGAAACCCACCATCAAGCTTGTAAGTGACCATAAAAACATTTATTTTGCAATAAATTAAGTTTTATGTCAACATTTCAATTTGTTGTATCTTTGCCTGAAGAAGTTTTCTCTGTTTGATAATTTTCAAGAATAACAACTACACTTTGAAATTGAAATGGCCATTTAATAATAAATGACGGAAAAACATATAATACAATGTTGATATGAAAGTTATCAAACTAACATAAAATTGTGAAATGGCCATTTAATAATAAATGACATATAAACATATAAAACAATGCTGATATGAAAGTTATAATATAACATAAAATTGTATACAAAGCAAGCAAACATTTCTGAAAAATGTATATAAAATTATATACACACATATCCCGAAAAATTATCAAAGGTTGGGTTCTAAGAATATTGCCACAAATTGTGTAAAACACAATTCCCCCAACCAAAACTTCTTTAATGAAATTGACTAGTCATGTAAAAGGGGACAAACAAAATTATTCTTTAAATGTTTGAAACAATGCTAATGAAATAAACAAGAATATTAAAAATATGTACATCACAAGATGATAACTAAACTACCTAATATAAGACAACATTTTTATTGGCACTAAACTAATGAGCGATCAAACAAAGTATAATTACCGTGTATAAAAGCAATTTATTGAAAATTGTTATGAATTATTTCTTCTTCTAAAATGGCGGACTTAATCCGCATCAATTATCACATTGTACTTACTCATAACGATAACCTTAGTGTACTTACTAGTACGGCTTTTTCGAACCCAATATATTTCGACCTATGACTAAAGACCTAATGAAACCCACCATCAAGCTTGTAAGTGACCATAAAAACATTTATTTTGCAATAAATTAAGTTATATAGGGCCATATTGTTTCTTCACTCGACTAACATACGAAAACAGTGAGCAAGTATTTAGAAATTAACAAAAATGAAAATTGTAACATTTTTTAAATATCATTTTGTTTTTTATACAACATTTCTTTTTAAATATATCATTTTAAACTTATTTGCCCACTTGTCCAGTGGAAATCTAGTGGCAACGCACTTATGCCACTACCACAAGTGGGTGGGGGAATGATCATCGATTTTGTCATACTAAAGCTAGGAGAAATCCTTTATTTGATGTTGTCTAAACGAACCAATTATTCTATTGACACTATCTCCTCCTGATCATTAAGAAATATTATTCTGTAGTAATTACTCATTATTTGTTTGTAGCCGAAATTTAAAAAGTTATCGGAATACATTTCAACCATAGGTGTTCGGCAGGTTGATTTCTCACTACCCGCCCCCCACCCCCTCACCCACTCTACAACTCTACAACCGTCCTACCTCTCAAAACCATGTAAACTGCAGTATTTTTTCATTTGAAACATATTTTCATATTTGGTATATGCTTTTAATTCAATTACCTTCATTTCCCACAAAAAAATAAAAAATTGTACATGTATATATATATTTAGTAAAGGTATGCAACTCGCCGCTCATTTTCAGCACTCATCTTAATATGACCTCTATAACTCCAACAGTTTTTTCACCAATTTTCAATATCTTGGTACCAAATGGTAGGGAATTGATGACTCTTAAAGGAAATAAAGCTGTCATTACGATCATTTCAAGTTATCAGAAGATGTGTAATCTCAAACTCACCGCAAGTGTAACTCGACAGAGACCTGACCGCTGGGTTTTGTCAAAATTACCCGACTAAACGGCAGTTTATTCGAATTGAAAGAATATTTTTTTTTGTATTGCGCATATAAAGATGATCAAATTATATCATTATTTGTAATAACTGTTTAATCAAAATATCATAAAAAACAATAACGAATCGTTTTCCCGATTTGCCAAATTCTCAATCCATGAAAGTGCACATGTATAAACAAATGCATTCGTATGGAGTATTTTCATTGGTCGTGTGAAAACCTTAGACCAATGAAAATACTCAATACATTAAAATAAAGAGGAGAGCACTCTGAAGAACCATTACTTGCATTACGATTTGGAATTTGACATATCGGAAAAACGGTTTGTTATAGTTTCATATGATGTTTTGATTGAACAGTCATTACAAATGATTATATAATTTGATCATATTATCATCATTGATCATATATATCGATTTTTTATTTTTTTGTTGGAAATAAAGGTAATTGGATTAAAAGCATATACCAAATATGAAAACATGTTTCAAATGAAAAATACTGCAGTTTACATGCTTTTTGTGAGGTAGGAGGGTTGTAGAGTGGGTGAGGGGGCGTTGCTAGTGACCAAACAACGCGCCGAACACCTATGATTTCAACTACCTTATTTTTGAAGAGTAAATATCTGTGATTATCTTCCTTAGAAGCGCATTACGATGTGTAAAAATACTACCAAAAACGTCTTTAAAGATCAAACTCAATATTCATTATTTATATAAGAAAATAATTGTAAGTTATTTATATATCATAATAGATTCAATCAGATACCTTGATTGTCAACACACAGACACTCACTGAAGTTTTATCCGACTTGATACTTTTAATAACAAAAGAGGACGAGAACATGACAAGACAAAGAGGAAAGTCTAAAATGAGCAGTCTACAGAAAAACACGACCATATCGACACTAAGATTAAATGTGCTTTGTGGATTCCGTGATGTATTTTCTCGAGACCACAGAAACATTAAGATTCGTTGGTTAGAATCTATAATATCCCATCAACGCGAAACGATTTGCGAACTTAAAGAGATTGTGAAGAAATCACAAACGTCAGAAGATAAGGGAAATGGCATAGCTCAACATAAACGTACAAAGCGTGAGACAACAATGCAACCTTCGTTTTCAGAAAAATCTTACGACCAACTGAAATCCGGTCAGTATTAAAGTTTTTGTTTTGAAACAAAAATATGAGTTCAAGAAAAGCTAATTGTTTCGCATACATATCATTTTCTAACACGCTGTCAATTTAAATGATACCTACACCTTTGTCCGCATGTCTTCAGATATTAATTATTTTCAAAATCATTAATAAATCATTTAGATATCATTATTTGTAATAATCGAAAAAATGTTAAGCCTTTATTGGACATTTGAACATTCAAAATAACTTAATAATATATTTCAGAATTAAAACATGACCTCGTTCAATTATATTTTAAACGACACAATACAATACCATTGTCACCACTTATGCAGGACAATAACGCATCTTTACTTGATTTTTATGTTCAACCGGCAATGAAGGTTGTTGATTTGAACAAGGGATTATTTGATAGGAAAGAGCATCTCATGTATCAAGATGTTGGTGGTCTTGAAGATATCTTCCAGAAGAAAAACGATAAAATATGCCGGAATATTGTTCTGACAGCCTCTCCCGGGGCGGGAAAAACAACATTTATTAAACATTTGGTATTGACATGGTGCCAAACACAAACGAAGGACCATAATCACCTTTTAAAGGACCAGAAACACATGCAGCAATTTGATTTTGTCTTCATCTTCTCACTGCGAGATGCAAGAAATGAATGCGAGCAAGATGCTATGATAAAAAGGATTGTTATTAGTCAGTTAAATAGAGAATACTGTTATGAATTTCTTCAGGAGATCTTGAATAAAGAACATTGCCTCGTCTTGATGGATGACTTAGACGAATGGCAGCATCCAAATTCATCAATAAGAGCTTGTCATTTTGGTAAGTCCGACTTTCCGCATATTAAAGACCGGCCGAAATGCATAAACCTGACAACATCAAGACCATGGACACTGAACAATATTCGGAACTATTCAAATCTTATTGATAAACGCATAGAGGTTCAAGGGCTTGGAAAAGAGTCTTCTAAACAACTAGTTGGTAAAGTTCTTTCTCACTTGACATTTTCTGAAAAGTTACCCAGTCAAATAGAACAAGAGAAGCAAAAACATTTTTTTAAAATGTTGTCATCAAAAAGATTGCGTAACTTTGAATCGACTCCAGTAATATTGATGCATTTGCTTTGTCTTTGGTTAGAAGAAACAGATCCAGGTGAATCAAGATGTGAAATATATAGCAATATGCTTGAACTTCTCTTCCGTAGAGCAGAAATAACCAAATCGTACCGGAAGAAGGGAAAACAACAAATGAAACTCCCTAACTGTTTCACTCGCAATACTCTATGCAAAAGAAATGCAAAACTTCTGCTTTCATTAGGAAACTTGGCTTTTGCCACACTTTTTGGTACAAATGGTGAGGCCGTGTACGTATTTGATAGATTTATTGCAAATGGACTCATGCAAGACCACGACGTACAACGATGCTTAGAAGTAGGAATTCTTTCTCAGAATGAAACGATTGGAAATAAAACAGATAGCATTCAACTGAGCTTTTTACACAAAACATTCCAGGAATTCTTTGCAGCTTTAATGATTGCCGATAAACCAGAAATGGCAAGAGAAGTTGCGATAAGGATACCATCCGAAACATTTGACAAATATTTGCAGTTGGAATTTCTCCTTGTTTTCTTATCAGGGTTTGCTCCAGAAATTGCTAGCGAGTTGACAACACGGATTGGGAAAGAAATTGCGAACGATGCTGCTACAAAAGAGTTCAGGGAAACCACAGGAACAGTATTTCTTGAAAGTCGACTTCCCATGAACGATTATTGCAATATGATTTCTAACTGTGTAATGGAAAGTATTTCCAGTGGCCACAGTCTGTTTGGAACTTTTTATATAGAAGATATATTTATTGATGATCAATGTATGGACATGAAATATGCCAATGCTCTTAGGAGTGTCATCGAAATGAATAGTAAACATATCAAATCACTTAGTATACATGTGATACAGACAGTCCACGAAGATATTCCCGATTGCATTCTTCATGAATTAAATACCCAAGAAGTATGCAACCTTCAGAAAATCTGTGTGCGGGGTAATATCCCAAGGGTTCATCTTCAAAGTCTTTTGCAGATTTCAAGACATTCTGCTAAATGTTTAGAGTTACGGGGAATGCAGCAGTTTTCCGAAGACATAGTCATAATTTCTGCAATGAAGAATATAGAAAGTCTTTCGTTTTTGAGTATTTCAATGACACATTCTGTGTTCGAAAAATTCATGGCCCATTTCAGCCAGAGAAAACAGTTATCACAACTTTGTCTAAACGACATAAAATGCGTGGATCACCCCAAAGATTGTCCTGGATTTTCTTTAAATATTTCAAATGAATCCAATTTAGTCTGGCTTCTATTGGACAAAGTAAATTTGACACACATTCGTTTAAATGCCGGACGACTTAAAATATGTGCTGTCGAGTGGCTAGCAATACCAGGATTCCTTAAAAGCTTGTTAGACTGCCTTTCACACTCGGAAAACCTGGAAAGTTTTGATTATGACGGATCAGCTTGCCAAGAAGATACTGAGGCATTAGTATATACCATTTCTTCTATGCAAGGTTTAAGATACCTGCGACTGCGCAACATAGATCTAAAGAAGTTTCACCTTCATCTTGACCGCCTTCACACACTTAAAACAGTTTATTTTTCAAATGTCTCAATTGAAACTGTTTTTTTGCAAAAGGTCACTGAGCACTTTAGAAGTTTAAAATCATCTGTTATGTTTTGTATGGATAATTGTGATGTGTCACCACAAGAGACCTACCAACAGATTAAGCAGAGACTAAGATTATCAAAGGAGATCGAGATATTACTTGATGAAGAACTCGATTTCAAGCAACTCCATATCAAAAGCATACCTTCGGACAAGACACTTAATACTGCACAAGAATCAGGTACGTGAATCTTTAATGTTACATGCGTTTTTGTTTGATTCTTTTCTAATTAATGTCAATATAATTTTAGAACAGCATTATTCATAAAAGTAACATATAAATGATAATAAGGAAACATTCAATTCAGTTTCCACAAGATGATACGCAACATTCAGAGTAAGGGTAGTTTCTTCAGAAACAACAACATTACATGAAGGTAGCAGACTCGGTTTGATTGATTCTGTTCAAAACACACGAACGTAATTATCAATGTGTCCATCATTTTATGCATGGCAATCAATTTTAAAACAATCTTAGGCCATTTTTATGCATTTCATACGCTCTTATTAAACACAGTTTGCTGTCTTGTATTTTTCATACCAAGAGATGTCTAATTGGGAACAATGCTTTAGTGATGATTCTGCATCTGCCAGTGCCAGGAAAATTGCAGACCGTCTAATAAAAAGTCGTGATTTTCCCAAACAGCACACTCTAAATAAACTCTACCAACTGTTTGGCAGAAAAGACAAATTGATAACGACGCTTTGCATTGAAATTGGTACAGTTATAAAAAACAAATCTGCAAAAATTGTTCAAGTTATACCGTCGTATTATCAAGAGAGTGATCATTGTGAAAAAATTATATTTGTTATTTGTACTAAAGCATCTTTATCCCAAACCGAACTAGGAACAATAAAACAATACACCCACAAGATAAGACCGATAGGAAAATACAGTTTAGAAGGAAAAACAGTTGTACAAAACAAACTTTTCATTGAGCAAAATCTTTCGCTAAAAGAGCTAGAAAATCTCAAGAAATGCATTAATAAACACGCTGACACGTTGCTGTCGAAACACAGACACTTGTCTGTCATTGCACCGAGCCCTGTGAGATCAAGACAATATGGGACTAGTAAGGCTTGTATTATACGGGAACCTTGCATTGCTCTCTTTATTCATACAAAGAATTGCATACCTATAGATGAAGAGCCTTTCAACGACAATTATGAAGGTATTCCAATAGATGTTAGGGAGGGCGGTTTCATGACCCATGGTTTGGAAATGGGTTGCAGAATAGGAAGTACACCGAACAATACTGTTGGAACGCTTGGTGGATTCATAGAACATCCAACATATGGTCTCTGCGGTTTAACGTGTGCACACGTGTTGTTGAATGACACGTTTATACACGAACTAAAAGAAAATGGCTCAATAAAAAAGTGGCCCACATTTCATCCTTATCAAGATGTTACTCTACTAGGAGACGACGACGAACCATATGTGATTGGACGGCTTGTACATGCAGTTTATACTCAAGGTGTGTCTGATGAGAGTGGAATGGAAGTCGCCTTATTCCAGATACAAAGACAACATCCAAATTCAGGAATATTTCATGGTATAAACGAGATCTTTTAATGACAATCCTTTCATGTCCAAATCAATTTCATTATTTCTGTTTGTCTATAAATAAATAATTTTATAGCTCTAAAATGTAAATGATATGTCTTTTTAGAAATTCTATTGGAAGAGAAAAACAGAAATGGGAATGCATAAATATAAAAGCTGCATTCGACCAAACTTATATAAGAACATCATTTTACGATTTTGCTTCTCCAAAGTTTTATGAAAGAACAGTTTTATTGAAATATAAAATATAACATTTCCAAAATTCATTGGCTTAATTACTTTTTCAATCAATCTGGTATTTTCAGGAAATGTCGATATGCGTTTTAATAGTGGCAAATCACACGAAGTTTCTGTAATAGATGATGTCCCCGTTGTTAAACTTGGAAGCACAACACATAAGACTATTGGGCGAGTTATTATGAAAGAACCCGCAATAACGGTAAGAACAAAAGAGTTCCACCTTAAAGCTGGTAGTCATATAATTACTTTACACAACCAGCTAGAAGTGATACCAGATGGATCGAAATTTTCAGATTGCGGAGACTCCGGATCTCTCGTGTTCATGAAAAGATCTGATGAAGATAACGAATATATCTGCGTGGGTATGGTCGAAGGTGGAACAAATTATGGAACATCCATTGTTACACCCATTACACCTATACTCCAGGCGTTTGGAGTTGGCTCGTTTAAAAATTTTGAGACAGCTAACTTGTCAAAAGATCTTAAAAATGTTGAAACGAGAATAACGAACACAATAGAGTCGTTGGAATCGCAAATGGATAAAAGATTTTCTGCAGTCATGGACAAACTAAACGAAATGAGAAATAATATCACCTAAATAAAAATTGATGTCAGATCAAGATATATGCACGGCCTTGCCATACCATTTTTATGGAGTATTGAAAACGGTACGAACACGGTATAAACATGTATATTCACTTTATAATTTGTATGTTGATGTTCATCCTTCTTAAATATCTCGTTTTAATATATGTAAGAGAAATCATTCTCTAAAGATTCTGAATGTTATATTCTTCTTTCTTTAAACAATTTATTTGTTTTATTATGATATAAGTTAAAAAAACTATGGGTGATCACAGACAAAGATGATTTGATTAATTCAAATCAATCTATAAAACACTACAGCTATTGGTTACAATCACATAAGTATATAGAAAAAAATAATTTAAAATGATCTTTATCAAATATGCTGATCGTATTTTTATATTATTAGAAAGAAAATACTCATTAGTGACTTTTAAAATATTGTTACATTTATTTTGATGATTCAAATACTCATCAGTGTCTGCCTTTTAAGATTTTTAAATTTATTTTGATGAATCAAAAACCAACACGTGTGCTTCGCTGAACAGAGAAAAATATGCAAATCTTTTTATAAACACTGATCCAGCGGTGCATGTTCATCATGGCACTTTTGATATATGTTTTGTGTTTTTTTCTTGGTTTTGTTTTCTTTTTGCACCATATCAATCACCTTGTTTTTGTATATTGTGACTTACAACACTTATTGGCTAGAGAAAGAAATATACGAATTCTGTTATTTATTGTTTAAATAATACCATTAGTCATTGATATCTTAAAGTGGCATAATGCTCATTTTTTACTGTCACGCAAAGAAAGAAAAGATTCATTTTTCAAAAAGGACTGATTACTTAATATGGCAATTGTACAATAATTGATAATTACAAACGTTAAGAATTAAAAATGAAACTGTCATAATATAAAAAGACTGCCTACTTTTTATATTGAATAATACCGATAATTTCAAAAGGATATTTATGAGATATTTTATGTGGATCAAATGGAGAAGTTG